TGAAGCTATGCGTAGGTCGAAGGGCGTTTGGCATATATGCGATACAGTTTAGCTGGTCACGCTGAATAATTAATCCTGGTTTTATGATCAGCCTAAAGCGTCCGTTGTCATTCTCAGAAGCAACACTCTCGGCACTCCCAGTACTGTTCCGAGCAACTCCGAATCGGTACAGGCCGCGGCCAAAAGCTACACGTTTTATTCAGGTCGCGTCGGACTATGGCCGGACCGCTCTAAACAGCAACAAGCAGGTCAGTCGCACCTACAGCCTCCGATCATGCCAGATCACGAGCGAGCCGACGAAGGACGAGCAAACGACAGTCTACTATAGTCCCACCTCAACAGCGCGCCTCACAAGCTAAGCAACGCTCCTCGATATTTAAGTCTCCACACAGCCGGATTGCAGTCCAGTGCTGGACAGACACCAACGCAAGCGGAGGAGCCAGCTGCAGCAGCCGCGTGCCAAACTACGACGCGTCCTGCCTGGCTGCCCCTATAAGATATCAGCCACTGCCGCTGGCGCCTTCTCGTGGTAGGCACCCTAGTCAGCGAAGGCACAGCTGTCGCTAGTAATATGCTTGGCTACCTGGGCTCTAATGCCCAGCATCTCTGCTTCTGGACCAATGCCATATTTGGTTAAGTAGACAAAACGAAAGCCATTTCTGCACGGACCACGCCACGAGCCAACAGAAATCTGGCACAACAGTATAAAAAAACATCTGTCTTAGCCACTATTCAGGGAACCGTTCGCTCTCAAAAAGGCAGACGGTTCGGTCGCTATTGCTGGTATACGCGCGACTCCAGATCAAGGAACTCATAAACAGCCAGTGTCAAAAAGCCCGCATTTGACACACGCACCCGCAGCGGAGGACCGCATCTGGCACACCCAGCCTTTTCGTATAAACGCCTCTCATGCATACCTGGAGGTGCGCTAGCAACACAGAGGCCGGTGGCGGCGTCAGTCGAGGCCAGGCCGCCAGCTTCAGATCTTCTTCGCCGGCCGGCCCGGCTGAGCGGCCGGCGGCGGCACCTCTCCCGCGGCGTCGGCGCCCTGGCGCTTCTGCTCGTGCTCGTGGATGAGGTGTTTGCCGGTGTCCTTGGCCACGCGTTTGGCGATGCCCTTGGCGCCCAGCGACTGCACGTTGTGCCCGGTCATAGCCAGGTTGCCGGCGGCGTGCAGGCTGTGGTGCGTGACGAGCCCAGCCTCGGCGCCGTACCGGTGCTCCACCAGCTGCACCGTGTTGTCGGCCAGGCTGTTGGCCAGCTGCGTGGCGGCCTGCTCCAGACCCCGGTACACCAAGCCGAAGCCGCGCACCGCCCCGGACGCCACTTCCAGCACGTCGTCCATCTGCGGCGCGCCCGGCGATCAGGGGACCGACACTCGGCCGAGGGGGAGAGCGGTACACTGGCGACGACAGAACCAACCATGTGCCGCTCCAGGGCTATCTGTCACTCTAGTTCTATTTGAGTAACACATTGGATGTAATGCAAGATACCCGGGTTAATGCAACCGACGGGGAAGCATACCATCCATCACGGTGTAATAAAGGGGAGGATTTTTGGGATGCTGTGTCAATAACTCAAACCCCTTCCTAAGCTTCGGGTCCGACTACAAACGTCCTGTTCTTGAAAAGGCTCGCATGACAATATTTGATTCGCTGCCACACAAAGAAAATGTCAGATACTATTTACTTGTAACAATGACCATTAGCAGCCATAACATTGCCATGACTGAAAATATAGCGCAGCTAAAGCCAACGCTTTCGTCGAAACACGCTGAGAGTGCACCCTGGTAGTACCACCGTGTATAATGGATGGGGCACACTGTTGAGGGATTTAGGACCTGTTACACGCACTTATCTATTCAAGTGCATGTAATTTGTCAGTGAGCTTTTGTTTTATGTCTCATATCACAACCATTTTGAAAGCTTCTATTCGGCCTTGTGCCATTTTTTACACGAACATCCGTTGCGATCGCTCACATTTGGATGAATCGTCGGTCCTTTGCATTTACATCCAATACGTAAGCCATCAACGACCATCTTAAGTGACATTTGCGAATGTTGGCCACATAAGCGCACAACACGCGGCGCGCTACTCAAGACATAAGCGACGAGAAGACCAAGGGGAAACCAGGATTGTTGGGCTATGACCGCCATTTGAACGCAAAATTTCTGAATATGACCTTGTAATCTAAAGATCTTTCAAAAAATGGCTGTTATGAGTTCAAAAGTTCTTATGCGACGTGCCAGCATAACTTCCTATTTTCCATTTAGTTTTTTTCTCACTTCATCATTCTCATCTTAACATGCCAGCACGCTCGGCACGGTCCGTCCTACCCCCTGACGTAACCTGACCTTCAGTGCGGCCGTTGCCGCGGGCCGCAGGCCATCCTAGACAGGGGCGCACAGCGGGTGCTTAAAGCAGCTCCAGCCCACCCCACCAAGGGTGGGAGAGTTAAATGGAAAGCGCTCCAACCAACTGAACAGCGGAACGGATACGCTTTACATGGCACAGGACCACAAAACACATGTTTATTTGGAGTGATGCGGCCCAAAGTTCGGTGGGAGCTTAAAACAACGATCCTTGCAACTAAGTCGACGTTGGAAACCCAGCTTCGGGGGTCAAACAACAGCGAGAAAAGATGGCCTGCAGGGATGTGATAACAGCACCAGCCAACAGTCGTTTTCCAAACGGCGTTCGTAACTTGAACACACTGAGTGTGCCGGAGGTACGGCAGCGCTCGAGCCCACCTTGCTGTTGGCCGTCGTCTCGTCGGCGGCGCGGGTGGCGGTCAGCAGCCTGGCACCGGTGCGCTTCATGTACGGTGCGATGTAGGAGGCCAACGCCATGGTGCCGCGCCCCACCTGACTCACTGGAGCGCACAGCACGGCTCGCGTGAGACGACCAACACTCGTGTGCACGATGTGCAGGTGTGACAACCGTATAACAACATCAAGGCACGAAGAGGGATATAAGACTAGACAGGGCAGTCCCGTATACCTGAGATCACGTGACCAACGCAGGACAACCGTCCGACAATCTAGGCCTTTCCATCTGCCATCTGCTCTTAAAAAGACTGGTCCTTTCGCAAAATATGGTTAAGCACCTTGAAAATGATGACACAATCTCCCTATACGTCATTTCTCTTCGTGACGGTAGCTTCCATTTGTGTGAAACAACCCGGGTAAATATTGGCCTCGAACATAGGCGGTCCGTACCTCCCATAAGACATAATTACGAGGGCGTGGTAGTGTCACAGCCGAATACAAATCAAGAATGCCGCAAATTTCGGTTCTTCGGCATTGGTCGCATTGGTCGGGGTTGGAAAAGTGCCTTTTGTATCAGAATGTTCTGATCGTTTCGTGACACATGAAGTTAAAAAGCTGTTTGGTGGGCTCCATCCCTGCCACCTCGAGAGGGGATCCGCCATTATTGATGGGACCTATGGCGCTCCCATGCTTCCAGCGGACTATGTCGGGCGTCAGTCGCGCTTGAGAACACACAGGTGGCCTCTATTGTAACCCTTTCTTCCTCGTAGAAAAGAATAGTAGAATATCTTTTCTGGCCCTCCTAGTTTCTTCCTAGGTCACTGTTCCATCTAAAGATTATGGTGTCCGCGCAGCCACAAGCTTTTATAACACAGAGCGCTGCACCCATGTTATACCAAGTCATACCACCTCTCGCTATGCCAACGGGTGACGTTGACATAGGCAGAGATCAGAGCAGCCGCGGGCGTCAGCCAAGATCAGGGTCTTCCCTCGACGCTCACCGACGAATTCGCTGCCTTTGAGCACGCCGACGGAGACCTGTTTGGCGGTCTTGGCGCCCGTCTGCACCCGAGGGTCGACGCGCACGGGGCCGGTCGCCGGCGCTATGCCGCTCTGCAGCTGCTGCGTGCCCGTGGCCATGTACTGGCTCAGCTTCTCAGCGCCCGTCACCAGGCCCTTGGAGAGCATCTCGGCACCTGAAGCGACAGCGGCCGCACGCTGACGGTGGCGAACGAGGGGTGACGGCCGAACGCAGCGGTGGCGTGTGATGCAGCCCTTCAGCCGCCGACGCCACGGCCAGATCTGGCGCAGTCCACATGGCGACCATCCCATCAGCACCTCGGAAGGCCCGTGGGGACCTCAGACTTCCTGTTGGCTCGCGAAAACCGAGTCTGCTGTCTATTCTTACACATAGCACGCATCAAATGAAGTCACCACTGTAGATGAATCAGACTTATGGCTTGACGCGTGCGATCTATTTCACTTCAACGCAAATGGCATCAGGATTTCAAAGGTTCTAGCATATGTGAAACCAAAGCCGCTAGCAAAGCTCACAGGTTTCCGGACACTCCGTCCAGCGGTTTAGAAACTGAGGCCAGAAAACATGGGGGAACTTTTTACGTCACCCCATACCATCACATTATCAGCAGCGATACGCCTTAATCACACAAAGGGCGTATGGAGCCGTTGCATGAACACAATGGTCATCAAGAACCGTACTAGGTAGAAATCGGAGCCTGGAATCCACAATATTTGTGCTTGGAGGACTACGCCAAAGACTAAAAGGGGACTGAGGATATGCATGGTAAGTGATCATGAAAATGCATCATAACACAAAAGTGCGGCTGCACTGCATTTTAACATTAAGCAACAGGATGAAAGAGCATTTTGGGAGCATTTTCAAACGGATCTACGTGCTTCTGAGTGTTTTCTACAAAAAAAATGGCGGCGCCAACACTTAGAAAAAAAGAGAACAGCGTGATACAACAGGTGCTGGTATCGTGACGTGACACGATCTGTCCTCCCGAGATTCTGCAACCGCTTCACAATCATACAGATCGCGCGAAAGCGTAAAACAAAGCTTGAGCGAATCCCCATCGAGACATCGGCAAACTTCTTCTTCTTCCGACCGATTGCAGCTTTTCTTCGCCAAACGATGCCCAGAGACGAAGCGAGGATACAGTTTGTGATAAGGAGCGTTTGCAAGTGGGATAATTTTGCGCAAGGGAGTCCGACATACTTACGGTCGCGTTCCAGCGACCCGCCCGCTGTGACCAGCGCGTCTCCGAGCGTCCAATGTCTTAACGCTGCCCACTAAAAAAACGAAGTGGTCTAACACAGGCGTGTCTAAAAAAGTGGCAGCACGCATAATGAAAAACGGAAATGACGCCTGGAAAAGGGGACCAGCGGAATACATTCCCACTGCATGTGAATAACGATCCTCAGATGGCAATATCGCACACACATGCCAAATCTCAGCAGTACACCTGCCGCCTTCAGCACACCCGCCGCCGCGACCGGAGGCCGACATCCGTCCTCTTTTACCCTGTTTACATGGGCAGCTGTGATTCGAATTGAGCCGGGACCCGTCCTCGATCCGAACTATCCGGCCCATGTATACACTCACGCGCCGTTCCGCTGATTCGAATCGTGCGCCGGAGGAAATCCCTTCCCGTGAGAGGATCATCCGTTCAGGAAGGGATTTCGTCCGAATTATCGGCCGTCAGCTGTCTAAACAAAAAAAAAGAAAAAGAAAAATGCCTGGCGCACGCAGTTCTGTTCATGGCCATTTCAGTTTTGTTTGGTGTTGCCGATTTTCCACGGGTTTTTAGCTATTGCTCGAGACGGTCCAAGTCCAAGATGGTGAAGGAAAAGAGAAAGAAGGTGAAGTTGACACCATGCTGCTAAAACTACCCTTATTATTGAGGGCCTTGAGTGGCTAGCAGCACAGAAATGCTCACGTAATTTAGCCTTGCTAGGCGCTTGATCTATGCAGACAGCAGGCGTCGGCGGTGTTTGGTGTTATCTTTCCGCCTAAAGGTTAGATTAATTTACATCTGGGGCAGGCTCCATGCTTCCAAAAGCCAGATGGAGGTAATATGGTCGTTTCATATAGCTTTGACTTGTCCTCACTTTAATTTTTGGATTGCTCAAAATTCTTGCAGAGAATGCCTCCAAGTTTCTTTCATTAAGTCAATACCTAAAGGCCCCAGGAGTGTTCTTGCAGATGTTCCTTAAATTAGGATGCTGGTTGCCTGTCAGTCAAATTTGTGTGAGAAAGGTAGCTTAAAAATTGCTGCATGATATGACGGATGAACAAATATAGATCATTGCGGTCAGCTCGGAATGTGAACTTTTTTAATGGCAGGACTGAAATTGCCCAATGATGGGGTCAGAACAGCAAGAAAGCAAATGTGAACACTGGATGAAAATAGTTGTCATCATTACTCTGTTAAATCCAAGTTTGTGTGTTCCATGTGCGGGAAAACATTGCATAAACTAACACCTAACACAATGGCACATGCTGCATGGAGAACACGTCTGTGTTGCATGTCATCACCTGTTTTTGTACTGGTGATTAAATATGTCGCCTTGGTGCTTTTTTGTGATGGGTGTCTTTGCAGGCCATGAGGTAGGTACTTCAACTGTTCAGTAGTTCTTGCAGGGAGTACCAATAGTTTCTTTCATTAAGTGAATACATAAATGCCCCAGGATTGATTTTGCAGACATTCCTCCTGTGACTTGAACATTTGGTTGATCACCTATTGGCAGGAGGGATGTGCTGGATATCGGTGACTGGCTCGTCAAGGAAATATGAAGTTACATCACACTGGTAGACCAAATGGCAAGGAAGCGGGGGCTGGAATATTTGTTTTTGATGCGATTAGGCTGTTTGTTGCTTGTCGGTTTAATGTGTGTGAGATCGGTAACTCAATAATTCCTGCATGATGCAAAGGATCAACAAATATAGGCAATAGATCATTGCAGTCAGTGCAGAATGTGAACTATTTTTAATGATGGGACCAAAATTGCCCAGTGATGGTTCCAAAATGTCAAGAAAGCAAATGTGAGCACTGGATGAAAATAGCTGTCATCAGTACTCTGTCAAATCCAGGTTTGTGCATTTCATGTGGAAGAAAACAGTGCATAAACTAAGTAAACCTAACATAATGCCACATGATGTGCAGAGAACATCTGTGGTGCACATCATTATCTGTTTTTGTACTGGTGAGTAAATATGTTACCTTGGTGCTTTTTGTGACAGGTATCTTTGCAGACCATGAGTTGGATAATTGAGCTGTTGTTATAATTAATCATTTGTTATGAATTTTGAGCCCAGATTGCTTTTGTCATGACAGCTCTGGGGCTGGTTTACATGTCATGATCTTTGGACTGTGCGAACACAGCTGTTTGTGCCACCTAGCCATCAGTCCATATCAGCCAATGCTGTTGACTGCAAGGATATCAAAGCAGTATTTCAACCCCAGTATGTCAAGAAAGGAAATAGCTGCATTCTGACTTGCCAGTCCATGCCAAGTCTAAATGGCAATGCTGCCCTCAGGTACTGATGATGCATTGGATGGGGAAAGACAACATAGTTACACAATTTTTGCCCCCAACTATGTAGCATTCATGAGTCATTTCTGTAGCTTAGCTCACTGTTGCAGGCTCCTCATAAATGCATTAGTGTGGGAGTAGGTAATGTGTTTCTTGGGCTGCGCAAAGTAGATGACATGATGCTGGGTGGCATACTGATATGAGTGTGGTAAGTTTGTGAGTGTCATTGGCCAATACAAGAAAATACTGATTTCCTGCTAGCCAAAGTTTCCCGCTAGTAAAAATTTGCATCTAACACCGCTTATGTGACAGATTTGGCAGTGCTGACTGCACAACTCTTGTGTTTCAAGTGCTATGGCTTGTGCTGTAGCTATAAAGCCTATGAGTCCCGCACAGATCATTTTTCCAACGGAGTCCATCTTCCTCCTCGCCCTCAAAGCTGTCTCGCGCCCACCATGGCTCGTGACATTCGCCATCCATACGCAGAGTACCGGCTTTTTTCTTCTTGTTTTGTTCAGTTCGCCTCAAAAGCGCAGTTTTCGCCCATAATCCGTTCCTTGATTCGAACTAAGCGGGATCGAACTATCGACCGTTAATCCGACGTAAAGCCGGTTTCGCCCATGTAAACGCCTCTCGCCGAGAGGGTTAACGTCGCATGATCCGTTCCGATCTTAATTCGAATTATCCTCGGCTGCCCATGTAAACCGGGTATTTGTCATCTTGGCCTCGATCGGCTTCGTTCGCTTTTGGTACGTGCCGATGGGAGACACTTTTGTTTGTTTTTACGAGGACGTGATGACGGTCGCCACACTCGTCAATCCGTAGCATTCATTGGCGCTGGTCTTGATCAAATGAATTCCTCAAAGGGCGCAAGTTCCATTTTGTCCAAGCCGGCAGACGTATCCGATAGCTTTCGACTGGCTGCTGCCCGTGGTGTGGGATCACGCCGATATAATGTAGTTAAATCTCGCTCTGCTGTAACAGGATGCACGATCTATCGCTTGTGACGCCACATGAGATGTATTTTGGTGACTGATTTTATGGCCGTAAGCGCGGTTCCTGCTAAGCCTGTGTGTAGCTGCGCTGCCTGTAATTTGCATCAGGTAACTTTAGGTAACCGCTTCCATGGCCGTAGGCACGTTTCCTGCCAAACCTGTGTACCTGCGCTACCTGTAATTTGCATCAGATGTCTTCTGGTGACCGATTTCATGGCCGTAAGCACGGCTCCTGCCAAACCTGTGTGTAGCTGCGCTCCATCGTCATTTGTAAATGCTATCTGTGCACATCCTTAGGCAAGCTATTTTGAAAAAGTCGAGGTCTGCGTGACCTTTTGGCAGTTCCTAACCTGCACTTGCGTTCCCCCGCCCCGCCCATTCATGTTATAATATAACATACGATCACTGCATGCCTTCAACGAATGTCTACAAAATGTTTGGCGAAAAAAGGCTTAATTTTGATACTCTGCATACCACATGGCAAACTACGTCAGTAACGTTAAGTCCCAAACGCAATCGTAAACGGCAGCAAACAGCAAAAGAACACCAGCAGCGAGAACAGTAAAAAGAAAACAGCAAAAAAAAATGTTGCGTGCCTAAAGGCAAACAGACATGACATGCCATCCAAGCTCAATTTTACAGAGCCACGCTCGGTTACGTTTTTCTTTTCTTCAGCAAGAGCCCTGAATGCCATGGCCATCACTGTGTACATATCACCGGCTGCGGCGCCGGTAACTCCGCTTTGCATCAGGGGAACGATGGTCGCCAACGACAAACTACCTTAGGTCGCTTCATCTGCTACGCTCCAAATCTTGAATCCCGCTACGACGTGCTGTCCGACAACACTACAGACAAACTACGCACGAACACGTTGCACTACCGCAGTGGTGCGCTCTACGACTGCGGATACGGTGTCATGCACGGGACCCCCGGAGCGGCCGCCAGCGGCGCGGCTGGCATGCGGCGCTCACCGGTAAGGTACGCCTCCATCAACTGGCTGCCGTCTACCGGACGGCAGCGCGGTCGGTCACACCACACGCACACAGAGGGCGGTGCGAGCGGGGTCGACGGCGACAAGCAGCTGACAACAGTGCTTGCCGGCCGACTGACATGACTCGCTTGTCAGCACGGCTACAGGGACACACAGCAGCCTGATATTTATATTAATCGGCCAGCTTGTAACGATCAATCGGTCTTTATATTTCAGATCGCCAGGAACACAAAATAATCTGGTATTCATGTACGCCAACCGATGCGTTTAAGTTTACCGACCAGTCGCCATACTCAACACATCAACTAACCAGAGCAGTCCAGAGCGGCGTCAGGTCACGAGGTCACGACCTGCTAGCCGGCTGGGTCGCCTGCCGACATGTCAGCGGTGGTCCCCGCCGCCGCCGGCCGCTGCCCCGCCTCGGGACGCTGCCCCTCACCTTTGACCAGGCCGCCGGAGAGCCAGGCGGAGAGGCGCTCCTTCTGCTTGTCGCTGCGGCCGGCGGCTTCGGCGGCGCCGGCGGTCGTCGGCACCTCTTCCGGCTGCTCCACCAGCGCCGTCAGCTCGGTCAGCAGGCTCTCGAAGCGGCGCCGACTGGTCACCGACACCGATTCGGGCAGCAGCAGCGCCACATGACACCCTGGCGGCCAGCGGCGCAGTGACTGGTTGGCCGCGATCAGCTCATTAACGCACGAACACATGGTTTGTTCCGCCGGTGCACTGCGTCAAACGCCGCCCGGCAAGCCACCTAAAGGAAATCCCAATAAGCTAAATCTCATCTATTCGCATGTTCGTACACACGTCCGCACATGTTTTACAAATAATGGTGGCCGGTCGCACCAGTCACATGGCAGCTCGTCTCCAACAGCAGACATGTAATGCCACAACTTCCTCCCAATCGTGGCAATCAACCACCGGCCAGCCAGCCCAGGGTTCGCTCATCGCTAGCGTGCACACGTCTGCCCTCCAGGCCCGGAGCCGACGCGTCAACACACACACGCACCTGGTCTCTCCAGGTCGGGGAACATGTATGGCCCGAAGTTGCTGTGCAGCACGGGCGAGCAGCCGGGGATGAGCGGGTACGTCCAGTCGCCCACCTGCAGGAACGCCTGGGGCGAGCCGGCCGGCGCCGCCGCCCCTGCGGCGGTGGAGGCGGGGCACCAGTCACAGACCCGCACATACAGGCGCACGCGCGCACGGACGGTACGGCGGCGTGCGACAGACTCGCTGTCACACGTGCAGTGCGCTCGGCCCCGTGTCAGGACGCCGTGTCGGGACCATAGTCCTTGCAATGCGCCGGGCATGTGGTGACAACAACACCCGGCATCCGACGATGCGACGCAAATGGCAGTTACGACGGGTCAACAATTATCAACACGAGTACCGATATGCCGGTTGGGTTCTTGGGTTTTATCGGCGCCACCCCTGCTGTTCACAGACCACCGGACGACTGTGTGTCGCTCGGAAGCCTGAGGTGCCGGCCCAGCCAAGGCCAGCGTTACAGCCGACTACTGACCGGCGAATCGGCAGAGCCGCAGGTGCTGCGGCGAGGACGGCGCGCTGACGTTCCCGTCCGGCGCCACGAAGAACATCTGGGCGCCGTCCGGCAGCACGAACAGCTCTTCCGCCAGGTCCGGCAGCAAGACACAGTCTCCGTCCGTCTCCTCGGCGATCTCCATCAGGGCGGCCGCCTGCTCGTCCTCGGCCGCTGCTGCCACCTGGCGGCGCGGCTCGCGGTCAGGGTCGGCGGGGCCAGCAGGACGAGGTCGCTCGCAAAGGCGATGATGGCGCGTAACGCGCGATTCTTACAAACGTAGACCGGGTTAACATTATGGGAGCACATGTGGTCAGTTACGGATGTCCAAAAACAGTGATTCAAATGATCGCACAACAGATCAGGCCGTACACAGCTATCATTCTCTGAAGTCTGGACCGTTATCGACAAACAGTGCGAGAGGCCAGCACCGGCCGAGAAAACCAAGATGCGCCATACCATACTGGCATGAAAACCTGCATCACATGGAAAGCATTAACACGGCCTGCGGACAATGTGCACACCAGTCACTACAAATTAATTGTTCGCACTGTCACTGATAACTTGATGTTCATTGGTGCCAATGACCACAACTATTGACATGTTGATGCTGCCTGCTTCCTGGAAAAGTAGTCGGATGGCTCTCATTAGTTCTCTTTACTCCAAATATGTGCCCTTTATCGCGTGTATCATGCCAGCAAACACGCGGCTACGAGGTCGGAACGATCGCCCGTGGCCGCAGCAGCATCGACCGCTGCGAAGAGCAGGACGCTGGTGCAAGTCCTTCCGTGCATAAACGAGCCAACAATGCGACGCCGTGATGCACGGGACTCGGTCATCACTTGCGCATCTACAGCTGGGTCTTGAAAAGCCTGCTTTAGCCTCCATTCCAAAATTGTCAGTAGATATCGGTTAACACCCCAACGTGAAAAGATGCTGTAGGCGGGAAGGCCAGATATCGCAGTCACCTTCCATGCTTGCCAAAACTTCCAGAACTGTCTTGTATCACTCCACACAGTGGCCGTTCGGCGTTACAAACTCAGCAAAAGCACGTTTTGTAACGCACCATTTTCTGTAAGCTTAATTGTTCTGGGCAACGGCCAATTCCAAGAAAAAAATTGACGCCCAACTTATCACAGGGTATTTGTTAGTTTAGCTTAACCTGGTGTTCACGTTACCCCGGGAGAAGGACGTTGTGCCAAACGTACTCTGTGGGCTCTTTGGAATGGCCGCAAAATCCGACGTGCTCCGAATGCAAGGACACCTGCTCAACTGCGCACAGAAAGCTGCTCAAAGCTGTCAAAAACCCGTCAAATCAAAGCACGTGACTTGTGCACAGACCATCTTCGGGCGTCACACATCTCCAGCGGCGTGGAGGCGCGGCGTGCGTAGGCCCGCCGCGGTCGCGGCGGGGCTCGCGTACCCGGGCCGCCAGCTGGGGCCGCACGGACGTCTCCTCGGGCACGGCCGGGTAGAGCGGGCCGGCCGCTGCCGGCACGGCCGGGTACAGCGAGTCGTAGGAGGGCGGCGCGTCCCGGCCAGACGTGAGCGGCGGTGGCGGCGCGGCGGCCGCCGCCAGCGCCGACTGGGCGTCCACCAGCCGCATCAGCGTCTCCTTCCTGGGGGCGGGCGACGCCACCGGCTGTACTCGTCAGACCGCTAGCCCACAGGTGGCGCTAGCCACCTGTACGTACGCACGTACAGGTGGCGCGGTGGAGCTAGCGCATTGTGATTAATGCTACAGCATATCTGACGACTACCGGACAACGCAGTGCTATCTTTGTGTGCATTAAATGAGTAGTTCAACAGCTACGATGTTACCACAGCAACGCATCACAGAACAGACGAGAACCAAAACATGCCCACCTGCGGTTTACCCCATTTCAAAATCCCTTTTATTTCTGAAAATCCTCTAGGTACTTGTTAATAGAGATTGATCTAACCTGAACTGGTTTGAAGCCATATTTTCCCAATAACAAGCAAATCAGCTTAGATTCCAAAAAGAACATTTCAACTCCAATGAATTCTTCAACGGCGCATTGCCTTCGCCTGAACGGTTATGGAAGTGTTGTCATGAAAATTTCTGACAAAACCAAAAGCATGAAATGAATCGGGAGTGTGATGCGGATCTCGATTTTTCAAAACTTAACAGTCTTGATGAAATTCATCTCCCAGACATATTGCGTTATATCATGATTGTGTGGTCAGTTGGTCAATCCTAGTATTCTGAGCGGATGGCTGGTCGATTCCTCGGATCTCATATGCCTTACTTGGCCCGGCGAATTTTGTCTTGCATGGTGGCGATTTTCTCGTTATTCTGAGGTTCGACGGCCAGCGCCTGGTCCATCAGGGTCAGGGCCTCCTGATACCCGTCGACGGCCTGCGGCAATCAGTCACACGGATCAGCGGTCGGTGTCACCATCAGCAAGGCTTGCAAACTGCAACAGGAAATTGCCTCGCTATACACGAATCCAGCCACCATTAGGCCACCGGCCCAGCTGCAGGTGAATAGTCGCGGGTGGTGCAAACTCACGTAAGCGAGCTGATGACGCCGGTCACAACGAAATGACTACCAGCTGGGTGACTGGACGGGGAAACACTTCGACTCGCACAGTTCAGTGACACCTGACGTGATTCGTGTAATCGACCGAGGGAGCGTGACCCTACCACCATGAGGTTGCCGTCGTCTCACCTGCTGGATCCTGCCATTTGTCTCTGCCACTAGGGCCTGGTCTGTGACCATGTAACAGTGGTCGTGTAGACGGCTGAACTCCTCCCAGGGCCCGGCAGTGGCGGTGGCGGCGGCGGCCGGTGCGGCGTCCCGGGCACGCGGCGGGCGAGGAGGTACCTCTGCCATGCTGGCCTGGGAAGACAGTCATAGTTGCAACATTTTTGCTGATAGAAGAGCAGATACCATAATATGATGTGTCACTGTATACTGGCTGCTTAGCTGCCATTGCATCTGTGTTTCACGACATTATTCGGAACCTCAAGAAGGACTTCACATTTCTTTTTTAGGTGATAAAAATGGAACAATTACATCACAAAAGCATAAGATTATTATGCTTTAGAATGCAAAAATGGAATTTAACAACAATCCACCTGTCATCTATAAGCAGGCTTCAGTTTTGAAAATATCACATGGGAAACTCAGAGAACATGTAGAAGTAAACATACCATCAGAAGCCATATATCTGTTGCTTTGTTTTACACAGTTATTGTTGGCACCCTTTCAACTTGACACATCACTGGCATCAGCAGAGTACCTCACTATTGCTAAATTGTTCCCAAAAATGCAGTCTGTCATAATGCAACAATTTTGCAACTATTTCCAAATACAGGGTCTCCTGACAAAATGGTGTAATGCAGACAATCAAGGATTGAAAAGGTTGGTACTATACAGGAAACCCACAACATTGCTTGACACCCTGTCAGACCATGCTTGCTTCCATGCTTCAAAGACCTAAGAAGTATTGCTCCCAAACAAGTCCAAGTCTACATAGTCTACATAACTGCCATTCAAACACTGAGGATAACCATGATGGAAAATAAGATGGTGAAGATAAAAAAGAAAAATAAAACTTTAAAAGAGATACATCAAACTGAAGATGGCACACAATGCCAAGTAGGGCAAGTTAGAGATGCCATGATAGTTTTGTAAGAAAAATGAGGACCCTAACTATCTGCAGCACATGCCATGGCCAGATCAAGCCTATATTTACAAGTGATGATTATGATGATTGGGGTTTTAGGCCATGCTGACTCATGTCATTTTGCCCCAACTTGAACAGCAGTGTCAACTCTATGAATAGTCATCTTTGGGGAACATAACTAGCTAATGAGCCTGCCAAACAACACTTGTCAGCCTGCACCACACATCTTGGCATCTGAGGTCATCATGTCTCATTAAAACTTTTTGCTCACAACCAATTGTGGGGAAAATACCTACTGGCAAGGGAGCACTCCAGCAAAGTGTCAAGAACCATCTCACTGGTATAGTAGTTAAACAGTGTAACAGTTTTGTCTCATATGCAATCATCAGCATCCTAAAAAACAATCATGCAGGTTTGACTTGGATCAAGGGCATCATGACCTATTTCATCAGGAGCAAACATTTGCCATGTGGCTGTTTCATGGGTTTCCAAAACACACTAAATATCAAAAGTCCTACCCAGTTGGCCAACAGCTGGGACACAATCATTTGGCTAGAAGGGACAGCATCAATGCATTGCTTAACAATTCACACATGGTGGTCCAGGAAAAAGGTCCACATATGTAGTCTACTGTGCAACTTAAAGTGCTCATTTAACTGATTAGCTTAAGCGAAGCTACAAAATCACTGTAGAATCACAGGACCTTATTCAGCATTCCTAAAATATGAAAATTTGGGTGCTGTTTAGCTTCATTTCGGTCTTAAAACACTTCCCTTCATGGTTTACTATTTGACTTATATGCATGAAAAAATGACCATACATGTGCAAAGGGCAGAAAAAGAGCATAAACAATAAATGTGATAATGATCAAAGCCCCACCAGCTGTGTGGCACATATCAGTTTACAACAGCACTTGAGCCACGAATGCAGCATTTCCCCACCTACCGATCCAACCTGCACATCAACACCACACACATCCGTACAAGATTTTCTACCTTGTCATTTTGCATGAGTTCTTGAGAATTTCTTATCGATAATTTCAATGAAAAAGGAAGGCGAGAGTTACAGCATTAATGGTCGCACTTCATGCGGGGCCTAAACCTCAACTGTAATCACTGCAATCAAACCATCAAAAAAGAACAATAAAGAACTATAAAATAAATTACTGCAACGGTATTTCGCCCATTCATTTACTGATGCCTTTCCACCTGACTCACCCGCTCTCTCGCCGGATGAATCGGTGGCTCCAATGCACTAGCACAAATCCGCGCTTGCGACCGCTGGGGTGACCATTCAGATCATTCCTCTTCGCTTGACAGTAGCGTGACGTCAGTGGTACCATAACGTCAATGCGAGGCGCGCTGCAGGGTGCGCCGCGGGCCGCCGAACGTAACGCTGAGGGGAAACCGGAACATCGAAATACTCGCGCAGAGAATGGGCAGGTGATCACCCGAGGGCGCATATCACTAGCGAAGGGATTACGTAAAATCTTATGGCGAAGCGGATAAGAATGAGCAATGCGAGCCAATGCAGCAAGGTATGCAAATGCAATTGACGACGCACACAGAGACTTGTCCGCAATAAAGCGGCAGGAACATCAGTCTGTCTTTGTACCTATAACTTAAAAATTGGTCGCAGCAGATGTATATGAGCAGCGAAACGATTGTGCGGAGCTTAACAAGTATGATAAAACACATGACTACCGAAAGCGGCAAGCCATCACCTCGCACTTATATTTGATACGGTCTCACACCTCGTGGTCGTGCCGCCGCTGGTGGTGCGGGCGAGTGGCGAGCGTGGCGAGTTTGCTGTACACAACAGTATGTTTGCGCTAGATGCACCAAATACATTGCCTACCAGTGAGGTGGAGAGGGTGAATGAGATTTTTCCGCCGGCTTTGTAGTTGAATTTAACTAACGGTTCAATATAGGTGGCCAGAGTTCTCGTGGCTACCTGCACCTGTTTGCACATCCATGATACTCAGTCTGCACCTGTCAGCAGGGCGGGTCGCGATCGTTCCGTAGTTCCGCACCTACTCACGCAGCTGCCGTGCTCGGGCCGTGCCTGATGTCTCCGTACCGCAGTGCTGGGTATTTGCCTGTATGCAGAGACGCCATGCTCGGTCCGTGCCTGCATGTACAGCCGCCATGCTCGGTCCGTGCCTGCATGTACAGCCGCCATGCTCGGTCCGTGCCTGCATGCGCAGCCACCATGCTCGGTCCGTGCCTGCATGTACAGCCACCATGCTCGGTCCGTGCCTATCTGTTTTTCACCGTGCTCGGTCTGTATGCACCTGTCTTCGGGGTCGGCCGTGCTTGGTCAGCACCTGACCACATTCCGGCGTGCACGGTCTGCCTGTTGGCGGCACAGGCCGTCATGCCTGCCTACATGCCGGCGTCATCAGTCTGTGCCTGTCTGCGGGGCCGGGGCCATATTCGGCTTGTGCCTGTGCGCGTGTCCGACAGTGCTGGGTCCCTACCTGTCCGCAAATCTACCTTGAGCGTCGAGTCGTGTGCGGTGCGGTCTTGTTACGTTACTGTGCGTTGTGAAGTTGAATGCCAAAGTGGCAAAGTAGGTACAATTACAGATAGCCAAGCTGAGGTGCAGAGTACGGTATTCATGTGTGGTTCCATTCTGTTTAGCCATAGTTAACTATTCGCTGACAAATCTAAATGCGTTTCACACGTGTGACAGCGTCTTCCACGGCCATATTTACTACCCATTGGCGTAGTTTGTTTGGCTTCGACCACTGAAAAGCCACGGTGATGCGGGTCGGCACACTGTGATGTGTGTGAATTCCACGGGCAGCACCCGCGGCCGTCTGAGCCCAATTCATGGCAGGCTGTGTTTTGGCGTTGCTCGCCCCTTGTCCAGTCTTCCGTGGCAACAGTTGTGCCTCTTACCAAAAGAGGACATTTCCTTGTTTAATACAGATCCCCGTATCACTGTGCTGCACCTCTAAAAAATGTGCTTAGCGCTCAGAGTAAGATTCTAGCCAACTACGGCAGAGGCACAGGGGCAACGGGAGTCCTCCTTAGTTGGGAAGGCGGGGAAGGGGCGGCGGAAGCCATGACCATGGGGCCTTCGTTAACTTTTTAAGGAAGTTGGAATCCCTCTCCCAAGTACTCGTGCTTTCTGCCTAGGCGCATTCACTTCATAGGTCGATTGAACTCAAACGGCTTTCCTGGATATAAGCTCGCAAAGCACGTGATCATGCCTGCCAATTCATTCTGTCTCATCGATTCGTGAATATATGCACACACCAACAGCAACCTACGTGTGAAATAAAACGTTCCACGTTTGAAGATATTGAAGCAAGAATCCGATATGTTGCAATAAACTCACCTTTAACTCTAGTTGTGCTTTTAAGTGCAAAAGGCTGCACTACGCAACACATTTTCTCTATTCAGAAAACATACTTCTCAATACATCATAGTGTGATTGTGCCATGGAACGTTTGTATGCCACTGAGGTACTGTGAAACTGGCCTCACGAAATTTCCACTTACTTGTAGTACTTCAGGAGATGACAGCATGGGCTGGAAAAGTTCGGCGAGCCAAATATCGTTATGTGCTCGTGTTTTGCCCCTTTGTCGTGATGTTCTTATTATTTGATTACATCGTATTTGATTACAGGCCTTATTTCCGTAATAACTAGAAGTGAAGTAGCAATGTCAACCTTATTGTATTATGTAGCACAGAATGTGCTTCGTGATTAAGGTTTGCACAGTTAGCTCAACATTGTTTGAGAGCCAATTAATGTCCACCACCTTTGGGAACTGTGCTCACGGAGGCCAGATCTGAACCGCTGGGCGATAATATTCCTCCTGGTAACGAATGCCGCTTGGCCTGGGGGGGGGGGGGGGGGCAGGGTTTGAATGACGTTGCTATGACGCTCCGCATGCCTGAACGACTTTGGAATAGTCTGCACGAGATAGACTGCACATCTTTGCGGGCGTCTAGCCCAGAAACGACAGGGTTGTAGGTCTTAAGAAGGGTGCGGCTGTGGACCTCATCGAATGGCTTTCAAGCTGATGACTTCAGCCCAAAATCACACGCGAATGTGAAACAGTCTCTCCAATTGCCTGAGGATTCCCTCATAATGCGTTTGCCTGTCAAGACGATTTTTTTTAAAGATATCAAACAATGCTGTTATACTAAATGTACATGTATGTATGAAAGCAAATGCATTCCTTTTTCTTTAAGAAAAGGGATGCCATCTTTCGTTTCGCATGACGAAAGTAAGCTAAACGCAGATTAAGTCTGAAAAAGTGCGGGGGGCAATTAACATTGCTGCCCCCCCCCCCCGCCACCTTAAAGAGTGGGGGCATTGGCCCCTGCCCCCCCCCCTTCCTCTTCATACCACCCCATGGTATCAAGGTGTCGCGCATCGAGCTCAAAATTTATATTTTGTTTAGAAAATGTCGCTAAAATGGGACAAACCCTTGCGGGATGTATATGTAGATGCTACCATCGCGTAGATGGCGACGCCTACACCTAGATGTTTTGTTGAAAATTTTTTAAATGCAGTTCACAGCCCTGCCCTTCTCAAAGTGGAAAACCCCTCTGGTTTGTGAGCTAGACGCGCGCAAAACCGTGCAGACTATATCGCACAGATTATTTCAAGGTCACCCAGGCATGTACGGCACCACAGAAATGGTACTTAATGGCTGCCATCTCATTGGCCGTGCAGCGTCCCAGGCCAATGCAAATATAGTCGCTAATTTATTTGCGTCTGGTGCACGTGAGGTCGATTTATGAAACCAGCGGACTTAAACTGGTTCTGAAACAATGTCGTGCATTCGCTGCATGATTTGGTAGTGTGCCACGAGAGGGAGCTAAATCACACGATAGTGCGCCACGAGAAGAGGCTAAATCACACGCACAAAATGATACTAGGGTGCTGGAAATACCGCAATAATTACCACCACACATTTCCCAAAAATGAAGCACTATAAGTGAGGCAGCCCCTCCGTTAGGGTGGCAATTTTGCACTGCAAGTTTTGAAGCCTGTCTGACGTCATACAAACTTCCCACGACACAAGCGAACGGTGACATACTTAAAGAAATGCTTACGAAATAGTGAAACTGTGTTGCCTAGTGTAGTCCTTTGCATTCCAAAGCGTACCAATGGTTCTAAGTGAGCTTATTTCATCCTAACTAATGTTTTGTTTATACCTTCAAATGCTGAACATTCCCTTTGAGATGTCTGAAGCCATCCAACACTGCATCCGGTTTACCCACCGCTTCAACGACAGTTAAGCTCAGCTCGGCGGCGGCCGGCAGCGGCTGGGATAACAATGTGCTCTGCCCCGTGACTGGGTCGTCTGATCCCAATGTGTTCTGCTCCGCGGCTGGGTCGTCTGATCCCAATGTGCTCTGCTCCGTGACTGGGTCGTCTGATCCCAATGTGCTCTGCTCCGCGGCTGGGTTGTCTGATCCCAATGTGCTCTGCTCCGCGGCTGGGCCGTCTGATCCCAATGTGTTCTGCTCCGCGGCTGGGTCGTCTGATCCCAATGTGCTCTGCTCCGTGACTGGGTCGTCTGATCCCAATGTGTTCTGCTCCGCGGCTGGGTCGTCTGATCCCAATGTGCTCTGCTCCGCGGCTGGGTCGTCTGATCCCAATATGTTCTGCTCCGCGGCTGGGTCGTCTGATCCCAATGTGCTCTGCTCCGCGGCTGGGTCGTCTGATCCCAATGTGCTCTGCTCCGCGGCTGGGCTGTCTGATCACGACGTGTTCTTCTCGTCGACTGGGTTGTCTGATCACAACGTGTTCTATTGCACGGCTGGGTCATCTAATCACAATTTATTTTGATCGGGGGCTGGGCAATCTGATCACGATTTTTTGCGCTGCGGACGACCGGAGGTGTCAGCATGTCCTCTTCTTTTAGTCAATGGCTCTGTTTGCATCGCAATGTTCCCGAAGACAGGCGCTGTCATTCCAGTGGTTTTTTTACCGATCCTATACTGGACTGTCTTCATCATAATATATATTTTGATGATACAGATGAGGTCGAATGAATGTACCACGATAATACATACTGTCTGTGGTCTGGAAAATATTTTCGCACCCGGGTACCTAAGGAGCACTCTTTATGTGAAAGTGTTTGAAGGCATAGAGCAATCTTTGAACATGAATAATAGCTGAACTCTTTGACTGGATGGATTCCTGGGATCAGAGCTCAGAGTATGCAGCGCTTCCTGTGTGAGTCCTAGCCACACCACCTGGTCATGATCACACCATCCATTCAGCGGCAGCATTTTGTGGCGAATGACTGACATACCACAACGCTCACAACTGCACAAATCCCGCAATAAGCTATTCAGATTTTTCGGAACTAAGGTGTCTGAAAATCGGCGTTTCCAAGTGGCAAATACCTGCATTACGAGTGATTTTTATTGCAAGCCATTCCGACAGAAATGTCAACTGTTTTTGAACACTTGGTTGGAAAACATAATTGGACAAATTTGAAAAAGTACCGTCACACCCATAGCGATAATCGCATTCATGGGATTCGTTCTGGTGATGGCTACGAGTAAAAAAACAACAACTAAAGCCGAGAACAAGTAAAGAAGTCGGTTTATCCCATATTATCACGCTTGATCCCATATTATCCCATATTATCACGCAGCAGTATGTTCATCTGCGCCGCATCTCAATCAGAACGAGGTGTGACCAAGTCAATCCAACACGCATCATAACAGCAGTCATTAGGAGCAGTCCGCCGGCGCCGGCACGCCGGTATCGATGATCTCGCCCTCGTCTGAGCAGAAGAACTGTTTGTCATCCCGACAGAAGAAGCTGCCCGGCTGACACACCCGGTCTAAGCACGTCTGCATCCCGCCACGTACCACACACGTGGGCGCTTCAGGGGGACATTCGAAGTCATAGCACGGGTGGGGGTAGGCGGGGGAGGTGCAGCCACGTCCCCCTCCGGAGGCGCCCGGACAGCAGAGCAGGCCGGATGCGCAGTCGTTGTCGTACTCGCAGCGGCTGACGTTGGCCTGGGACACCTGCTCCGGCGGCGGGCAGAAGCCGGGCTTCGGCTTGGCTCGTGGCTCGCACCTGACAGTGAACTGGCAGTTGGGGAAGTCACTGCAGGCGGGCTGCGAGTCAGACCTTCTCGCCGTCACACAAACCGTGCCAGTTCCGCATCGGACTGCGGCGCACCGGTCCGGGATGCAGGCCGGCACGGGGTAACAGGGCGCCCTGATACAGATCACCTCCTGCAACACGCAGGTCTGCAGATCACCGCAGTGAACGTTCTGGCAGCTGGAGGGACGCTCCACCGGCAGCGGGTCCCCCACGCACACTTGGCTGCGGGTGGAGTAGTAGCCACCGTGGTCAACATGCTCCAACTCGCAATGCTCGCCGTTGGGACACGGCAGCGTGCAGCCGCGGTCGAGGTCGTGACCTGCGAACACAGCGGCGGGCAGCCGTAGTTTGCTTCCAGGGATATATATATACATATATATATATATATATATATATATATATATATATACATATATATATATATATATATATATATATATATATATATATATACATGTCCTCTAACAGTGCAGTTCACATTATACACTTGGCGATTTCGCAGGAATTCACTCAAGTTTACAGCATGTTGGAGAAACTTAAATTTTGCCTTCCCCGACGAAAATTCTGGCTACGTGCCTGTGTTGGGTGAGATCCTTTTCAAATTATTAAGATCTAAGCCAAAGTGATGTCGCTCCAGCGGAAATAAGAACGCAAACAGCGTAGACTTTTGGAGCAGCGAGGCAACCGGTTATCATTTGTTTGAACCTTAATTGGTGGGAATGTGCGAACGATTCGGTAATGGGTGCATACGACGAATTACGGATGGATAGCAGATTGGTATATACAACCTTCCCTACGCGTAAGGCATTAAACCGTAACATCCAGTGCCCCGTCGTGTTTCCCATACCAAACGCATTCTGCAAGTTGCAATATATGACATGAGGGGTGCGTGCGTCATAACAATTTTTCCACGTCAGGGTATAGTCACTTGTATGCGAAAGCACTTGTGACGTCACAAAAATTAACCTAAAGAAGGCACTTCGCCAATAAAGAACTGGGCCCCGGTGAACCGTGCATACACAGCAGCGGCACACCACTCGGCGCCACCCCAACTAGGCTGGCCGGGTTTCCATGCTTTCTCTCCCCTCCCCTTGCAGTTAGTGAGACTGCTACCAGGCTGTGTTCCTCACTGGCAAAGTACCTATTTGAGTTGCTACCTACGACGTCCCAAGCACCTAAGTCATACATAAGCGACTCACATCCAAAGGCGTGGGAGCTGTTGTGACGCACTAACCTATGACGTCAGATCTGTGACTTGTCCACAAGTTGCAACATATGACGTCAGAGGTAAGTGCGTCACAACAGCTCCTGCAGTTTGGAGGTAGCAAGGAAGCAAAGGTAGCAACTCGACTGGGCACTTAGCCAATGGGCAGAGCGACTCTGCTGGTAATGGGAAACGTGACCCTGAGGTCGGCTGGCGATCACGTGATTGCCTGAGGCGTTGAGTGTTCAGGTTCAGAGAATTCGGCCGCGTCCCGCATCTGATACAATATGCAACATGTGGATTTCTGCAGAAGAGATGTCTGTAACAGACTGGCACCAAATTGCAAGATTTCGTTTTCATCTCACCCAGAAGCGTGCAAAGTGCAGAAGCCGGCGTCTACGAGAACACACAGCACAAACTAGTTTTTTGGGGGGGGGCACACTGAATAAGCTTAGAACATCAACAAATATCATGCCAAGAAGCTTGAGAGACACCGACCAGCAGCTTGCAGGCGGCCGATACTGTCACACAGCAGCACCAGACCGAGAACGACTCCCAGGAGCGCCATGCTGCCCACCAGCACCGCTCTGTCGGACGACTGAGCCAAAACGCTCGCCGCGGAACTCGCCGACAGCGGTGGAAAATCCCGCCCGTGCGCCCGCAGCGGGCCGCCCGCCCAGTCACGGTTCGCTGAAGGCGGGGGTATGCGCGACACACGGGAAGCTCGCTGGAAGCAAGCAAAGCGCCGGGTTTTCCAGATTCGCTCGCCATTTCCAAACATGCTCAGCATCATGGTGGAGAGCTTTGCTTTAGACACCTTCATGGGAGGGCGAAGTACTCAAACTAAATAACTATATTCGCGGATTGGGCACACACATGGGGAACTAACGTGTAAGGGTCTGAGTACATGTCCAATTTTTAAACATAGTATATAAAATTGGGCAAAGGTACAGTGCCGCTGGCAGAGGAGGTAGCGCAGGGGGCAGGTGACTCCTCCTTTTTAAACCCCGGGTCTACAATTTACATTGATCGGGGCTTCTGAGTCAACGAGGTGCCCCCTGTGTCAGCATGCGTCCCCGTGTTGGCCATGAGCCCGTAGTGTCTGGTAGGTGTCAGTGCAATTGGCCTCGTGTCGGCTAGGGGAAGTGTTCGAGGGGTCCCGAAGAGCCCCGGGACCGTTGATCAGGGGCCCGATTGGAAAATCGACAGGCCCGCAAGGCTCGCTGTAGGTCACATGAAGAACCTCGGCCCGTAGGGTCGGGACCTTAGATATCAGTCAGAGATCTTCTCGCGCCAGGTGTTGACTACCTGTGACAATGCGATCCTCTGTTCCTGCCAGAGACAACAGCACCAAACGGTCGGCTCCGTGCCGGTCTGGGCTCTGTGGCCCGGATGGCCCAGCCGCGGAGAGGAACACATTGTGATGAGATGGCCTAACCTCAAAGAACACATTTTGACCAGATGGCCCGGCCGCTATGCAGAGCAAACCGTGATCAGATAGCCGCTGGGCATTACCACCGAGCCGTGGTGAATTGTTGTCGAAGCGGTAGGTGGACAGATGCATTTTTGGACGGCCTCAGCCACTTTAAGTCTGTGAAGGTTGTCAAGATCATTTTTAGGGAAAATAATGGCTTATATTTATCAATCGAATAGACGAAATGCTGGGGGCCTCTTTCAAGCTACCAGGAAGAGTTTATGTCGGAGTCGTAAAAAAGAAAGTAAAAAAGTATGAAGTGTGACGCGTCTTCCCTCGGATACCCCACATAAGCAGGACGGGCCAGGGAGGCCAGAAACTTGGCAAGAGGAGACAAAGTGCTTCTGATAGTGAGAGCCCCACTCCTAATATTTCCGTGTATGGCCTATTTATCAATGAGAGAACGTTTTTCTTTATTTGGCCATTTGTACCATCTGCAACTGAACTCGAAGCCAGGAGGTTACAAGCTAGCGTGAGATAGGTTCTGTCTGAATTTTATAGTAAAGAAAGTAAAGAAATAATGCGCAAACAACTGCATGAAATGAGCCATCGGACTTTTCGTTTTACAATGGCCCAACGGACTTTTTCTAAACTGATGGAACTCAGAAGCTTTGCCAGAATTTTGACCTGGGCTGAACAAAGATGCTAAGGGCTATGCGAATAGACTGAAATCGGTGAAAATTGTATCGGCATGGCCAAGCCATGCTTGTCCGGAGATTTTTATCATTCAGTCAGATGAAATAAGCATCGACTAACACATTTCTGAACATGCACGCTCACAAATCACAGTAACAAAACCTTGCCGCCAGGCGCTGCAGTCTCCTAAGTCCGCACAGCGTCAGCCTCACGGCTAACATTAAGCCGTGACCAACGCGCAGACGGACATGACGACAAATCTGGTAAAAATGCCTTTGAACGCTTTTGCACATCAAGACTGGAATTTAGAAGGCTGTCCGGGCGTATACTTCTCCTGTGCGATCCCTAGATTGACGATAACGGATTGGCCATTACAGCACCGCGACGTGGTGCTGGAATCTGGAAGTGGAACTGGAACCATGAAGGTAGAATCTCTCTCGTTCGCGTTGCTGTACCCGCTAGTTGCAGCAAAGATAAACCCAGTCCAATCTTAGAAGAGTACGAATAAATTTTGAGTCATTAAGAATCATTATTTCACGACGGTAATTCTCGTGCGCAGAACGCCCGCCGCCTACTGTTACTCGCGGAGGCCTACACCATTCGGCTTATAGGAACTGCAACCCAGGCCATCGCCGTCCATGTGGGAAGAAATGTTGGACCCGCGCCTGCTTCCGTCAGCCAGCCGTTCTGCCTAATTACAGGGAACGCCAACCCTCGCTCGGCATGCAAGGTGACATAATAAACCCTTTTCTGGTGTCAGATTGGGCTTGGAAGGTGAACGGACAGCACGTGCATCCTGAGCCGTATGGATTTTTACTGGTGGTCTCGGTAAGTTTGGTCAATGGCGTACTTACGTTGTGGCGGGTACAGCCTGTTGTCTGGGAGACACTGGCGGGCGTCGCACTGCTGCCCCGTTGGCTGAGGTGGCGCGCCCTGGGGCTTTACAACACCGCCGACGAGGTCGAAGTCAGAGCGGCCTCCGACGACACATCACAACACTACAGCCAGCGTTACTGAGCATGCTTAGCGCAAAGCCACGCTTTTTCACGGCGAAATGGCTGTTCGAGCTACCGCCGTCGCCTGGTGTGTTACTGTTCTCCCGTGAAACTGCGGTCTGAGCTCGCGAGTTTTGAATATTCAACGAACAGTGTCGGTCTATCTGCGGGCGATTCGTTCATAAGTGCACAGTGAAACGGTGCACTTATGCGCACCAGGCTGGCTGCGCACCAGGCTGACTTTTTGTAGCTATGGAAGTATCAAAGCGTGATTTTTCAGTTGCCGAGACATAGACTCGGGCACTGACTCGATGTCCACGGATTCAGATTCGATCTCACCTGCAACTTTGTACTTAGACAGAGACTTCCAGACTCATGCTTGGGATCACCAATTAAAAAGTCATCGACCTAGACTTCCTATGAGTTAAAATTCCTTCTGTTCAGTTAACGACCTTCAATGTAACAGGAGGTACAGGTTAAAAAGAGTATCCGACCAGCACTGAAGAAGTATGTTTTCTGCTACCGGCAAAATTTGAAGCCGCCTAAGCTGTCACCTGGAGCCAAATCTTTCAGAAACTGTTGCAATATAACTATAAATGCGATACACCACAACAACAGAACAAAGACAAATTAAATGCCATGCGGCACAACCGTTAAACATTTCATTCCAGGAATTTATTTGCGCTGAAACTTCATTTCCTTTAACAAAAGCAGCCGAGAGGCGCTTAGTTTCCTTCTCAATTGGAGGGGGGGATCATGCCTCAAAACCAGGGATGTAGTTCCCCATTCTTAGCTATTATTTCATCCATTATTTTCATTAATCTCAACTTTAAGGTCTCAGCCCCCCAACCTAACTTTGAGAAACTACATCCCTGCTCCCCACTCTGAAAAGAAGGTTCGTCAAATCTGGGGAGAAAATTGTTTTAAGTGCATTTGGGAGGCAGCCAACCTTTTTTCGTCCTACCCCTCCTCGCTCACCACTACTTATTTTGCAAAACTGCATCCTTGTAGCCCTACATTATGCGATAGCATGGTTCGAGAAACACCCGCAAACATTATCCCTTTTGATTTGATGAGGTTACCGTATAATCAGCTGGAAACGTTGGCGACCATCACTATCTTCGCATTATCATTACTGGCGTAGAAATCGCACGTCCTAACATGATCTCAGTTAATTGATGCGAAACCCATGCAATATCGGTATGAACAGATCCAAACGTCATTTTTGAACACCTCTAGCACCTCCATTTAGATCCATATAAAGGTGATGACAATTGACAACGCTGTATCTCACACTTGGCCACCGGTCGGAACGCCAATTCTGAGGTGCGACGACAGTGTAAGAGGCCTGCATCAGCAATGTCCGGCATCGTACTTCAAAGCCGCTGTTTCCCTTAGCAGCGGAAAGAACCCGGATGAATCCTTGACATGTGTCGCTACAACGTCCTTTGTTGACACATCACGCCACGGTTCTGGTATCCACAAACAACAGGCACCCTAGATCGGCAGGGTGTTTCAACGTTGTTGCCAGGGACCCCTACATGGAAAATCCTTAGAAAAGCCGCACAGCGCCTTAAAAACTGACAATTGACTACGTTTCTCAAGTCAGTCAGCTTCTCACGACATAGACAAAACCAACTGCGGCTCATAGCCTTACACTGGACTCATTTCATTTCCGCGCTGTTCGAGTTTGTCTCCGCGAAGGTCGACACGAGTCGGCGGTCGGAACTAGACTGTATTTCTGTATTCCGCGAGACGCTCTGCCATCTACCGTTCGGTCTAGATACTACTACTCGCGCGCTATACTCGGTACTCGCACATTTTTTTATACACGAGGGATGAGAGTGTACACTAGAGAAATGAACACAAGTATGGCGGGAGACGCGATCGCGGGCCGGTAGGAAGACGACGGTGGAGCGCGGAGGCTACAGCGCGAAAATACGCGGTCGAATACTAAATCTATAGAAAATACTAAATCTACCGCACACGGTGTGCCAGGCCACTCACTCACATGGCCCCAATTAGACGTTCGCGACGCCGGGTAGCCCGTGCAGACCGTCGCGGCGGCGCTGGGAAGACGTCGGGCGTCGCCTCTCCAGCCGGGGTTGGACCTGGGGTCGGCTCACTCAGACGTCCCGAATCCCCCGCGGGGCCGGCTCGGGCGGGGACGGTGTGCCCGCCCCGGCCGCCGGCGCCGGGGCGCGGCCGCTGGCAGCTGCGAGAGCTCGGCCGCGTCCGACCGGCTGGGGGCGTACCGCCGGCGAATTGGACGCTGGTCTGCATGTGCTGCGTCTTGGAGGGGTTCAGGGAGACCCCGCGGGTACGGCACCTCGTCAAAAACTTTCGGACTCGGGCGATGTGTTCTTCTTGCGTCTTGTGAAAGATGATGACGTCGTCCACGACACGTTGGATGCCGTCCACGTCCCCGAAGCACTCGTCCTTGCGCCGATTGTAATGCTCGCTAATTGACGAGATGCCA